TGTGTTAGAAGACATTAATTCCTGATTACTTATTTTCTGCTAATATCTTAGAGATGATGGAGTTCAAAGGACTGACATAGTTGTTTTCACAAATTCAGGGAAACTTTTTCATCATCATACTTACTTCTCATAAGCTCAAATTCAAATTTCAGAATGATTTTTTTTAAATTGTAGTTTAATAATGAAAAAATAATTATTTCCCAAACATTGCCATTAAAATAAGTCAACTTTCACTTTGATAGGATTATTTTATTTATAACCAAACACATGGGAATGAACACATTTTAGCTTTCTTAATGTCTATAATTAGTTTCTCAATAACTAAAAATCCACATTTCCTATAATTTTTCCATTTGCACTAAAAATAATTATCTTAAAAGTATTTTCACATAAGAAGCAGAATCAAAGAAATATAATATGACTTCAGCATATTAACTTAGAACCTGTAACACTACTTTGATTATTCATACAAAATCAGATGCAGAAAGAGCTGATAAAAGTTATTGTCAATCTTCTGGCTTTGTTGTAAGAAGACATGTTGCTCCTCCAATAGAACAGTGAGATAACTGCTTTTACAATTATCTTTACCTCTCTGTGTATTTACTCCATGATATTCCAGCAACATTTTTTTCTTAAATTAATTAACAGAATTAAACTTGTAAAAATTTAAAAAGGGAATTCTAAAATTTTGCGTTTTATTTCTAATCTACAAATCAGAAGTTCTCAAATACTGCTATGTTGAGTTTAATTTTAAGAAAATAATACTTTTTTTCCTCCCAGTATTATGTTTTGCTTTCTTATCCAAATAGAGGAAATATCTTGACTACCTTATCAAAGCAGCATATTTTTGAATTGCCATACAACTAATCTGAATTTATGGAATAAAGCAGAACTATGATATAAATCACTGATATAAAAACAAAGCTGTTTTAACTGTTTTGTTCTTTAGAATTGTCAACATGCTTTGAGGTAAAGATTTGTTAATTACAACTTTAATCTATACACAGGCACATATCTTCATCAATACCTTGCTTATTTACAATACATGCAAATTACTGCATATGCCTACACATGTCTGTTTTTTTTATTTTGTTGCCAGTAAGGAGACCTCAGTTGGCAAGATTGAAGAAAACAAGTTGCCTCTTTATGAGTGTTTCCCTCCTCCTTTCTACCAGGGCCCTCTTGAGACAAAGTACTGAATGCACAAACTAGAGAAGGTCTCTAGTTATAAAGATATCATGGTCTATTGAAACTCTGTTCACACTTTTCCATTGTGAATGTTCTACCATTTAATGCGAATGGATGATGCCAACCTAATAGTAGACAGAACTACTGAACATCTTATTCATATAAAACATGAATTAAGACTGTGACTTTTTTGAGTATCCATGTGATTACACTGAGTAATAATGAAAGCAGGCAACCTGTTTCAGTTAAATATAACATAAAATCTGCTTAGATTTAGAAATATTCATTTTGGAGATGGCAAATAATTATGGTCAACATTTCCTTAGGAATGAGTGATAGCAGCTCAGTTGTAAGTTGTCTTAATATTCCAATAAGGTTCAATCAAATGTTGAGGTTGCAATGGTTTTTTGAGTAATGATTCTGTGTTTCCTATTTTAAAAGATGAAGCATTCTAATTTTATGCACTTTACAGAGGAGCTTCTATACAGCACCTATCTATCAAAAGATTCATGGGGACATATTTATGCATTTTTGTCTGCAATTATTTATTAGATATGAGGTTCTTAAAATGTTCTAAAACAACTTAAAGCTTTGTGTCTATAGAGCTTCTCAGTCATCCAGGTCATAGTTGTCCCAAATGTGTTTTTTCAAGAGGCCACTGGACTTTCTGGTTTTTCTTTGAAGACATTTTGCTTCTCATCCAAGAAGCTTCTTCAGCTCTGAAGCAAAACATCTTCAAAGAAAAACCAGAAAGTCCAGTGGCCTCTTGAAAAAGCACCTTTGGGACAAGCTAAAACTTTGTTACCAAGTCAACAATAACAAAAGGAACGAGGAAAAAACAAGCATACACAAGAACTTTGTAAAGTTTCAAATCTTGGGAATGTTAACAAATATAGAATAGTATACATACACATATGGAAACTGGCATCTGCAGAGAGAAGCCAGGGGAGGGTTGAATGATGCAAGCAGTGTTGTAACAGATGTCCTCACATCACAACACTGAATACATGCCCCAAAGGGGCAGGACCTACAGTAGTACAATGCTGTTGCACATCACACTTTAGTAATGTAGGCAAAGTACACAGCATCCGTTCACTTCCACCAATGGAAGACTAGAATAGTGTGATTCATCTGAAAACAGTTTAATCAGTGAAAAATAATGGATCTAGATACCTAGATAGACTGACAGAGCAAGCAAGACTCAGAACATGGAGTTCAATATTTTAAATATAATGTAAAATTCACAGGATACCAATAAACTGAATCACTAGTTTGACTGTCTTATCTACAAAACTCAAACTATCAAGATCTCAAAATTTTCACTGAATCAAATAAAGACCATAAGCCATCATGAAAAGTGTGTTTCATACCATAATTCAAATTAAAAACCTACACAGCATTCTATTTTTTAAAAAAAAACCAGAATATTAGAGCAATTGAAGTTGCACGAAAACTTTCCCAGTCTTATTTATAACAGAAACAAGAACTCACTGGACAGTTTAGTATAAGCATATCTATGAATTTCCAGAAATCCATATATAATATGGAGCAGCCAGACAAATGAGTATATAGGTGCTATCACACCAGCCTTCCTGGGTCATAAACATTCATAAAGAACAGAAAAGTTCAAAGGGCAATGTGTATACATCATGTAATAGATGAAAATACATGCCGCATGTTATACAAGCTGAAGACCTTCTACATTCCAAATCACTGATCTCTATTTTATTTTACTACTACTGGCTCAATGTGGCTTAAACAAACTGATTTATTACATTTATTTGATGTGATGCATTACATCACCTGTGAACCTTTAAAGCAATATTTTAAAAGAGAGCATTCCCCCCCCCTTACCTTTAACTAGATGTTAACCAGTTAGCCATCATCTGTCCCCATAGATAGAATATGTGGAAAAGTTTGACTTGAAAGACCAAATAGCTACTTCTTCCTCCCCACCAAAAAGAAAAGAAACCGAAACCACATAAAGCACTTTCTGCCAGAGAGAAAGCTAGTTTCAATAGCTTCTCTTCGTCGGGTATGGAGTTTTAGGCTAGATCTCTTGGTAGCACCATTTTATTATATATAAAGGCACGAAAGTTAAAGGAAAAATGGTATTACCAAGAGATGTGGGCTAAAATTCCATACCCGACCAAGAGAAGCTTATATATAATTAATTATATATACTTAACTCCAGCCATCAGTCCCGAGATAGGTAAGTAGGAGATATAGATTAGCTAGATTAGCTAAAATAGATAGATTAGATGATAGATAGATAGATAGATGATAGGTAGGTAGGTAGGTAGGTAGGTAGGTAGGTAGGTAGGTAGGTAGGTAGGTAGGTAGG